CCCGCAGGTTGAGGCTGTGGTGGCCGGGAGCGGCCACTGCACTCCAGTCTGGGTGACAGTGAGACTCCAACTCAAAAAAAAATAATAAATAAATAAAATAAAATAAAATTATAAAAGACTGGCTTGAGTTTAACTTAATGCTTCTTCTCTTTGGAAATAGTTGTAATATCTTTGTAAACACGATGCACACTTATTTTTAAAAATTCCATTACTATAGAAAAACACAAATCAAAAAGTTTCTTTTTAAATTTTCTTTTTTTTTTTTTAATTTTTAGTGTAAAGATGTGGGGTATCTTTTTAAATTTTCTTAAATCCCTCTACCCAGTGGAAACCATTCTTAACATTTTGGTGAACATCCTCCTAGATACTTCTCTGGGCATAGATTAAATGTCTAAATTGGAGGCTGGGTGCCGTGGCTTGTGCCTCTAATCCCAGCACTTTGGAAGGCTGAGGCAGGAGGATTGCTGGAGTCCAGGAGTTTGAGACCAACCTGGGCAACACAGCAAGAGCTCATCTCTGCAAAAATAAATAAATAATAAAATTTCTTTTAAATTGTACATATATTACACATGAGTTTCCAGAAGCAGCAAGTGTCCTACATACTTCCCTGACCAGTATGGTATGGATATCTTTTCATGCTGATAAAGTACAGAGCTTTATCATACATGGTATCGGTTGTTGGAAACAATAGCGTCTACTAGTGATGACTGTAGTGTTGCTTTCAATGTTCTGGCTTTTTTCCCCCTTTACTTTATTGTAAAGACGTGGGGTACAAGCCAGGATTAGGTCTATAAGTAGTCTATGTGCAGGTTATAAGTAGTCTTTGGGTCTCCCACTGGTCCTCTCTTCCTTTGGTTTAAGGTCAAGTACCCTTAGTGATGTTACGTACCCTCCCCCCTCCCATCAGTGTCCACCACTGCCAATCCCTCTTGTGATGAATGTTCAGGGCCCACTTATGAGTGAGAACATGTGGTGTTGAGTTCTTTGTTTCTGTGATAGATCACTGAATATGATGGACTCTAAATCCATCCAAGTTGCTGCCAAGTCCATAATTTTGTCCTTTTTGATGGCTGCATAGTACTCCATCGTGTATATGTACCACATTTTCTTTATCCAGTCCACTTTCGATGGGCATGTCTTGGCTTTTTAAACATAGCAAAGCTGTAATCAACATCGCTGGATGCACACCTTTTCACATTAGGGGACTGTCTTCTTTAGGTAGATCCGTGAATGGGGATCACTGGGTCAAATTGTCAATCGTCTATAGGTGCCAGACTCCCCTCCAGAAAGTTCGCACCAATTTGCCAGGTGCAGGGAGAGTGACTCGCTGTTTGCCTCTCCACCAGTCAGCCTTCTCATCTTTCAATCACTGCCAGTTCAGTCCATGGAGGAGCATTTTTATTTTTATCTGATGTCCAGCTAGATGACAGTGCATATGACTTTTGGTCATTTGGCTTCTTTTATGAATTACCTGTTTATTACCCTCGGCTCACGTTTATCTCTTGAGCTATAGTGTTTTTAAATTGATAAAAGAGCTCTTCCAGCTGAGTGCAGTGGCTCACGCCTGTCATCCTAACACTTTGGGAGGCCAAGGAGAGATGATTGTTTGAGCTCAGGAGTTTGACACCACCCTGGGCAACACAGCAAGGCCTCGTCTCTACCAAAAAAAAAAATACAAAAACTAGCTGGCATGGTGGTGTGTGTTTGGAGACTCAGCTACATGGGAGGCTGAGGTGGAAGGATCACCTGAGTCCAGGAGGTCGAGGCTGTGGTGAATCATGACTGCACCACTGCACTCCAGCCTGGGCAAAAGAGTGACACCCTGACACAAAAAAGAAAAAAGAAAGTGAAAGAAAGAGCTCTTCATACATTTGAGTTACCCCTTTTTATATCACATCTGTTGAAGATTGTTTTTTCCGTTTTCTATTTGCCTTTAAGCCTATTTAGTTTTGCATTAAAATTTTAAAATTTCTCAGTGATCATTTTTTTCCCTTTACAGCCTTTAGGTTCTGTAAGATGTTCAGAAAGGTCTTTCTCATCCCAAGCGTATGAAAATGTCTACATAATATTTTTTCTAGTATATATTTTATGGTTGCATTTTTTATATTTAAATCTTTGCTTCATCCATATTTACATTAAGCAGTGATGTCATGGTACAGTTTAGTTGTTTTGTTTTTTCCCAAATATTTCATGAGTTCTTCTGCACTGCTTATTAAATATACATCAATTTCATCACTGATTTGAAATTTTTAGTATTATAAGTTCACATATTTAATTGGCTCTATTTTAAAGTCTATGCTCTGTTGACTGATGTGAATTAATTTTTAACTTTTATTTTCCACTCTCAAACTTTTGTCCTTTCCCCCAATTTACATCTGGTGAAATGCGTGTGCAATTAATGAGGAATATTCAGTGTGGCCATTTGGGAGACTCGCAGGTCCTGTTTGAAAAATGCCTTAGACTAAGTCCCCCTACACGTAGACAGAATGGAAAGCCAGCAATAAGCAGAAACCTGGGAGTGGTCTAAAGATCTTAAGTCCCCAAGAATCTGTCAGATAGTCCTAAACATTATTATTATTATTTTTTGGAATTCAAGTTTCACTCTGTCATCTAGGCTGGAGTGCACAGGCACTATCACAGCTCACCACAACCTCAGCCTCCTGAGCTCAGACAATCCTTCTGTCTCAGCCTCCCAAGTAGGTGGGAATATGTACCACCATGCCCGGCTATGTTTTGCGATTTATTATAGAGATGAGGTCTCGCCAAGTTGCCCAGGCTGGTCTCGAACCCCTGGGCTCAGGTGATCTTCGGCCTCCTCAAGTGCTGGGATTATAGGCATGAGCCACTGCACCCAACCCTAAAATCTATTTTTAAGATACAATTTTGTTAGAAAACAGAAGCAAGAGTATTTGCTTCAGAAAGTCAACGCTTAAATCCCTCTGTATTAATCAAGAAAACCCTAAGTGAAAAGAGAAGGAACAAGTAAGTTTTTGGGTTGTGAAGTAGAGGGAAGGAGGAGGAGAGAGGATAAAACTGAAAAAGTCAAAGGTAAAACTTACCTAATTTCCTAATTTCCTCAATTATTGTCAGTATGTAGATACAAAAATAACCTATTTGAGTCAAGTGTTCAACTCAGACTGTCTTTCTGTAGTTAAAAACAGACACCATATTTTTTTTTTTTTTTTTTTTGAGTTGGAGTCTCACTCTGTCGCCCAGACTGGAGTGCAGTGACCGCTTCCAGCCACTGCAGCCTCGACCTGCTGGGCTCCGGCGATCCTTCCGCCTCAG